ACGGTATCACATTGTAGTTTTTATTTGCATTTCTCTAATGGCTAATGATTGTGAACATTTCCTCACGTGTCTTTTAGCCACCTGAATGTCTTCTTTGGTGAAGTGTATGTTCACATTCTTTGCCCATTTTTTAATTGGATTATTTGTCTTTCTGTTATTGAGGTGTTAAAGTACTCTATAAATGTTACAGATTAGACCCTTGTCAGGGATGTTGTAGCCAAAATTTTTTTTCCAAGTCTGTATGTTCTCTTTTTACTCTCTTGGTGAAGTCTTTTGATGAGCATAATGTTTAATTTTTAGGAGCTCCCCAGTTATCTAGTTTATCTTCTGATGTTTGTGCATTGCTAGTTATGGTTTGTGTTCCATTTATGCCATGTATTAGGGCCCCGAGCATTGACCCTATTTTTTCTTACATGGTCTTTATCGTTTTAGGTTTTACATTTATGTCTTTCATCCATTTTGAGTTAGTTTTTGTGTATGGTGTGAGGTATGGGTCCTGTTTCATTTTTTTACATACGGACATCTAGTTTTGTCAGCGCCACTTATTAAAAAGACTATCTTTTCCCCATTTAATGGACTTTGGTCCTTTGTCAAAGATCATCTGACCATAGGTGGATGGATTTACTTCTGGGTTCTCGATTCTGTTCCACTGGTTTATGTGTCTGTCATTGTACCAGTACCAGGCTGTTTTGACTACTGTGGCTGTATCGTAGTTTCTGAGATCAGGTAGTGTGAGGCCCCCTACTTTGTTCTTTTTCTTCAATAATGCTTTGTTAATCTGGGGCCTCTTTCCTTTTCATATAAAGTTGGTGATTAGTTTTTCCATCTCTTTAAAGAACGCTGTTGGTATTTGGATTGGGATTGCATTATATCTGTAGATTGCAGGAATAGAATTGATATTTTCACAATGTTGAGTCTTCCTCAACATGGCTGGTTAGGGGTGGAGCAGACCTGGGACTGCAGTGGGCCACTGTCTCTCTAGCCGAGGTGGCACAGCATGGTCCGGTGGGAAGGGTAGAGGTGGCATACAGGGCTAGGTGGGGGGGAGAAAGAAAAGAAGAAAGGGAAAAAAGAAAAAAAGATCAAATAAAATAAAAAATGGTGCAATGGGAGCCGGCTTGTGGCAATGGGTAAGACCTGGGATGGCAGTGGGCTGGTAGCTCTCTAGCAGGTGAGGCGTGGTCCAAAGGGAAGGGGTGGAGGTAGTATAAAGGGCTAGGTGGCAGGGAGAAAGAAAAGGAAGAAAGGGGGAAAAAATGGAGTGGCAGGAGCCAATGGGTGGTGGCAGTGCGGATCCGGGCCGTGGTTGGCCGGTTGCTCTCCAGGCGTGAGGCACAGCATGGCCCAACAGAAAGGGGTAGAGATGGCATATGGGGCTAGGTGGGAGGGAGAAAGAAAAGGAAGAAAGGGAAAAAATGGCATGGCGAGAGTCAGCGAGTGGGAGCAGGGAAGATCCAGGGTGGTGGTGAGCTGGTGGCTCTCTGGTTGAGCGGCGTGGCATTGCCTATTGGGAAAATGTGGAGGCTGCATAAAGGGCAGAAGGGTAAGTGGTGGGAGAGTGTGTTTTTCTGGTTACTTGGAGCTCTGTCTCCTGTGGGGAGCTCCATGAAGTTGCCTTCATGTACTCCCTGTCTGGGTCATTGCTGGCTGTGTTCCAAGATGGCGACGCTGTGCCATGTTAATTTGCAGGGGACTTACATTCTGTATCTCTCTTTGTTTTCTGTTTTCCATCAGTATCTTCTTCTATTTGGTGTTTGATCTAGTTCTTTATCCCTTCATTTGATGCTTAGGGTTCCAGGATTGACGTTTGTATGTTTTCCTTAGTTTTCCAGGTCTTTGCAGCTGAGGGACAGCATGGTCCATCTGTCTATTATGCCAAGTTGGCTCTGCATATCATTTCTTTTTTAAACATTTCAGCTAAGGTGTTATTTTCTGAATATATCACTCTCCTGCTTAAAATATTTTAATAACTTTCCATTCCTCTTTGCATAAAGGGCAAACTTCTTGCCATGGCTTATAAAAATGGTAACAGAATGTGCTGGTTTGTCCAGATCTGTCCTAGCTTACCTTGTTGCCAAGCTTAATTATTAACTGTGGCCTCTTTCATTCTTAAGAAAAATCTCAGTTTTGACAGTGAATTTTGTTGTTACTCTACCTATAATGCCTTGCATTTATGACAGAGGAGATGACTTGTGGTTGGACTGTCAAGTAAGATTACATTATGTGATCATAGGGGAATATTAAACTCCTATAGTGCTTATTTAAACCAATAATTGCTGTTTTTCTTTTAATACTTGTGCATTACCTTCCCAGTGAGGTTACACATATATTCCTTAGTTATTATTTAGGCAATATACAAGATTTACTTTTGCAATTTCGCTAACATCTTTTGCATCCCTAGGGCATTAGTACTGGCCTTTGTTCAAAATAAGGTCTTATTAAATATCTAATAATAAATCAACTTTTGGGAAAATCCACTAATATGATGTACCAAATTGAAAAAAGAAAGGGAGACAAACTACATGCATCATTTCAATAGATGCAGAAAAAGCATTTGACAAAATCAACAACCTTTCGTGATAAAAATTCACAAGAAATTGTGAGTAGAATTGAACTCACTCAACCTGAAAAACCTACAGCTAACATCTATCGAATGATGAATGACTGAATGCTTTCCTCCTAAGGTCAGAAGCAAGGCAAGGATATAGGCTCATCACTTCTGTTCTATATTGTATAGAAGGTTCTAGCCAAGTGCATCGAAGCAAAAATGAATGAATGAATGGATAATTAGATAAATAGATAAATAAATGAAGAAAGAAAGGTATCAGATTAGAAAGGAGATAGTAAGACTATCTTTATTCTCAGATGACATAATCCTTTATGTAGAAATTCCTAGGAAATAAAAACACCCACTATAATTAATAAAAACATTTAGTAATATAATAGGATTAATGATCTATGTATAAAAGCCAATTATATTTCTATATACCAGCAATTAACAATGAAAATATAAAAATAAAAACAACTATAGTATTGTAAAATTAAATGCTTTTTGGAAAAATTTTAACAAAAGAAGTGTAACATTTGTACACTGTAAGCAACAAATCGTCACTGAACAAAAAAATAAACATCTAAGTAAATGGAGAGACATTTTATGTTCACGAATTGGAAAACTCAATATTGTTAAGATGCCAATTCTTCCATATTAATCTATAAATTCGATATAATCCTCTTCAAAATCCTAGCAGTCTTTTTTGAATAAATTAGCAAGCTGAACCTTAAATTTATATGGAAATGCAAAGAGACTAGAATAGTAAAAGTAATTCTGAGAAAGAATACACAAGTGGGAAGGTTTACACTAATTTCAAAACTTATTATAAAGCTAAAAGAATCAAGAGTATGATGTGAGTATGAGGATAGATCAATGGGAAATAAAAAATTGAGAGTACAGAAATAAACCCTTATATTGTTATTTTTTTTAAAAAAAATGCCAAGACAATTCAATGGTGAAATGATAATCTTTTTAACAAATGATGTTAGAAAAATTGGATATCCATAAGTCAAAAAAATTAAGTTAGACTTTACCTCACATGAAATACAAAAAAAAATAAAATGGAACATTAACATTAACTTAAGATGCAAGATCTAAAATTATAAAACCTCTCAAACAAAGCACAGGAAAAAAAAAATCTTGTGACCTTGGGTTATGCAAAATATTTTAGATAACAACATTAAAAGCACAATCTTGCAGTTAGACTTCATCAGAATTAAAATATTTTGTGCTTCAAACAAGACTTAAGGACATGAAAAGAGAAGCCAAAGGCTGGGAGAATGTATTTGCAATCACATATTCAACAACAAAATGGATCAAACTACTACACATAACAGCATGTATGCACCTCACATGCAAAAAGCAACATATTGTGTGATTTCATTTGTATAAAATATCCAGAAAAGGCAAAGTTGTGGAGATAGTAGATATATCAGTGTTTGCCTGAGACTGGGGGTATGAGTGGGGATTGACTGGAAAGAGGCTTGAGGGAAAATTTTGGGGTGATAAAAAATATCTAAACCTGGATTGTGGTTATGATTGTAAACGCTATAAATTTTCTAAAAGATATTTAAATGTACACTTATAATGGGTGAATTTTATGGTATATATGTTATAGCTCAATAAAGCTGTAAAAATGTATTTTATATGGTTAAAATATTATCGTCATGCTCCTTATGTTATCACAAGTACAGGTAGTCCCCACTATAAGACGTACTCGAGTTAGACAAACCACATTTAAGATCATCTGTTCTTTTTTTTGGTACATCGTATCATTAGTAATATGTTGCAGTGTGAAATTTTCTGATGTTATCATTCTCAGATGTTCACTCGCAGGTGTTCAATTTTATGATTTACTGTTCAAAACACTGCCAGATTTATAAAGATACTGATAATAAAAGGCAATAGTAATGAAAATTTAAAAAAATCAGGTATTTGACTTACGTCAGAACCAACTTACGAAGGAGTCGTCAGAAAGGAACCCTGTCGTAAGTTGGGGTCTACCTGTACAACAAAGACAACTATGGTTGAGCAGAAAGATAAGGCAGAAGATGGAATAAATATAGGTTACCCAATTGTCTCTATTTAGTTAAACTATTTGCAACTAAACACCATTAAATTTTACTGAAAAAATAATCCATCTATATTTTAAAAAATGCACTAAAATTTCCTTTGACAAACAGAAATATTCTCCAAAGATTCAACAGTCACTTTTGTTTCTCATTTTTTTATTTTTATTTTTTGGTTTTCACTTTATGGGCTCTATTTTCCAATTTTATAAATTAAAAAAGTACAAAATATATTAAGCTTTGAGTCATAGAAATGATACTGCTCTGGCTTAATCAACAAAATACGTCATAATAGGATTTTTCATCTTAAATTTTGTTCCACAGTTCACCATAAATTACATTCCCAAAACTGAGCCACATACTTTTGCTTGATATATTACCTTGTCTGACTTGTCAGCCTGAAGTCAACAATAGAATCCTTAAATAAACCAACCCCTTCAATGTCAATGACATCGTCCACATCAGGCTCAGTAGCAAGCAATGTTAAGGGAAACTTCCAGATTCCATCTCTTATGCACTCTATTTTCAATATAATTTGAGACCTTGAACAGAAAAAGAGATTTTAAAAGATACTCATAGGAAAATAGACAAAACGAATATGAACAGTAAATCAACATCTAAGGTAAAAATTTAAGTAAACATTATGGTTTCAGCAAAACCAGTGGGACTTTTCATTCTTAAAACAAATTGTAGATGACTATTAATTACATTTCAGGAATCATTTTTAGGTCATAGTTTATATTATCATTCTCTTTGGGGTAATTCTTTTGTAGGACATCTTACCTACTCTCTACTTATTTACTAATAACCAATAGCATTTGCAGAACAGACTTACAAACTTTCTGTAACCAGCATAAAATATTACAGTGTTTAAGAACCTAACATAGATTTGGCAAATGGAGCCAGTGTTAGGCTAATAGGTAATTTATTTTGGTATTTTCTGTTTGAAATGAAACACTGTGACAGTCTTTTCAACTCTCAGTTTACATACAAAAATTATGTTTTCTGAACACCTACAAAGTCTCATAAAATTGACTGAAATTAAAACTTTTTAAGAAATTAAATTGCAATCAATAATGACCACAAACACCATACAGAATGACATAACATTGAGTGGAAGATGAGTTAAGATAATTAGTAGAGATAGCCTGTCAAAACATTTGGCTGTGAAGAAGAGAGAAATAAGACAGTATCTACATTGGAGAAACTGCTATCTGTTTGCATGTTTATGGTGGACATGACTCAAATATGTAATGGTGTGGTTGTAATATCACAAGGCAGGGTTGGACAAAGAAATCACGAGTCCTTTACAGAAAGAACAATTCTAGGAACTCTTATCTTCTCTAGGTAGGACTGTAAAATTAGTCAATCATTTGAGAAACAATGGACAACAATTTACCAAATCCGCAAGCTACACATGTAGACCCAGTGATTTCACTATTAGTAATTTCCCCTAGACATATGCCTCCAAGATTTCAAGAAGTGGTGTGTATAAGGGTATTCTCTGCTATATGACTTATACTTTCAAAAAATTGAGAACAAAATTTTTAATATATTCTTTCAATAGGGTGCTGGTAAAAATAAAATGCGTTTCATCCAGACAATGGAATACTATGCAGTATTCCACTTACATATTACTAGGGGATGTACAATGTCATGGTGAAAGAAGTTGCAATGTAGAACATAATTTATGCACTTTCATTATTTGAACTGGTCCATGATGATTGATATAGCATCTAAACGTGAAACATCCCAAATGTAAACCCTTAACCCATACTTTTCTCACACTCTCCTGTTTTAGACAAAAGGGGGTAATGTCAATGTGTATAACTTACTTTCCTCTCGTAGCTTGATTTTATTACTGGTTCCTGAAGAAGACGCTCGCATATTTTAGATATTGGTCTACAAATTCATACACATTTTAAATATATGCACGGCTACATCAAAT